CTCTCTTCCCCCCACATTGTTACCCGATCTCATATCCCACCTTCGATCCCCTATTCCTGGGAGAGCTGGACCGTTCCACCCAGGGAACTCCGCCCGACCCTGTGGCCATTGCTGGTGGCTCACATCAAGCACATCAGGGGATCCTGTCAACCGGACCCAGCACCACAGCCAGGGGTCCAACCGGGCTCCTTACGTAGCGACGACTCGGACTAAAAGTTGTTTTAAAATAAAGTATTTCTCTCCCTCTCTCTCTGCTCAGGAGCTGTGCTCTAATTCGGCGTTACAGGGAGTTGTAAACGGCTTTCGTTTTTTAAAGCTATATGCGGTTAGCTGAAAAGGCCAGGTATAATTTGGTCCTTGCGGAAAATAAAAACTAAATCTCAGGCATGTTCCCCACTTCGGAATGTCCTTTTTTCAGAATAGTTGTAAGCCATATGTTGTGTGTTGTTTTTGCGATAACGAAATACGTGATTTCTAACTGTTATCACGCCGGTGGAAAGCGGGCTTCGTAATGCTGCCACCGTGGCTGGTCGTTTTCAATGCAGAACTCATGTATAGCCTCACTTAGTCGATTACATCTTACTGATGCTCCAATTAGCTAGTTTGCAAAATAGTTCTAGCTATTCGTTGAATGACTAGAACTCCGTGGTACCTACGTGCAACAGAGGAATTTGCTTCTTTAGCTTACCTTCGACAAAATGCGATGAAAGGTTTTGACTTTGACCCCTCTCTTAGTACAAAGATTGGGCGAAAAACTTAAGGCCTTCTGTATTTTCAATTGTTCATGTCCTTACAAACAACTGTGATTTTTTTTTTTTGTTTTTTTTAAGCTGTCGAGTCAGCAGTAAATTAAATGTCAACAGCTTTTCATGAAACTTTCGATAGCTTTTCAGTTGACTTTTTTGTGGACATTGAACTAATTTTTAGATAAATTTAACACATTTCCTGTCCCCTTCATGTTTGCTTTAATTATTCGCTTTTATTTGAAAGTCCATATTTCCCGGAAAAAATGCTTTGCATCTATGCCTTTTTGTCACAACATTGCTATTTTTTGGCTGACTACCGCTCTACTCTGGATTGTGAGCTACAGCATAATAATGTAAAAAAAAAAAAAAAAACATTTTGTCACCACGCTTGTCGTACCAATTTTTACACGTAATGTGCACCGAACGCAGTTATCCAGTACGCAGAAGCAAAAAACACAAACGCCTTTAAACACCCACAAAGGCTTGGGTGACATTCCCTTGACCAGCTAACAGGGAATCAGAGAAAAGGAAGTAATCGGAGTCAGGAAGTCAACACGTTTTAAATAAGAAATAAAAAAATTGTTTCTATAAGCGTGCGTAGAAGCACGACATTGAGCGACAGTTGCGATAGCTGCAACATTCTGGAGGCCAACAATTTCTAGGGTTTTAGAGAACAGCTCTTATACGCCCGTTTCTGCGTTGAGCGGCGTCGGCGTCGCCGTCGGCGTAACCGAGCTAAATATAGCGGCAAAACTGACATCACGTGACCTCAACACCAATTAAATTTCCCACTAAGTTTAGCGGGGAAATTCAGTTTCTCCGCTTGATTTAGCGGGAAACTTATGTCGCGTGACCTCAACACCAGTTCGATTCGCCGCTAACTTATGCTAGGAAATTCAGTTTTTCCGTTAGATTTAGCGGAAAAATTGACGTCACGTGACCTGAACACTAATTAAATTTTCCCGCTAAATTTAGCGGGGAATCGAATTGAAGTTGAGGTAACGTGACGTCAATTTTCCCGCGTAATCCATGGCGGAGAAACTGAATTTGTTTGACGGGACTCCAAGTCATGTGAGGTCATTTTCCCCGCTAAATTTAGCGGGTAAATTGAATTGTAGGAGGAGGGGAGGGGAAGAGATGGAGGAGGAGGAGGGAGGAAGGAGGAGGGGCATACCCTTTTATCCTCCTCCTGAAGAGGTGCGTATAATTTCGCATTACAGATGTTTGTAAACGTCTCATTTTTTTATCAACAAGGTTTTGAATCAGGCTATAACCTACTTTACGGGACGTTATCATATTTGAATATTCAAACTTTCTTCTTGAATGAAGGTCTGAACGTTGTCTTAAAACTATAGTCGATTGATCTGTTCACGTAAGATATCATACACGCGAGTTCAGTTGACGTTTTTGTTGTTGTTCATATTTTTATATTGTGCTCCTCAATCCGTGACAGAAGCGTGATTAAAACATATTCGAAAAACTAATTTCGAGAACAACGAAGGCAGGCCAGTTTTGTATCTTTTTGTTTTTGTAAAATTTAATGGCACGTGATACTCACACCAAATATCCAAAGCCTCAAAATGTTCTGCAAGTAATAACTCATGGCGATCATATATCCTTTAATGATTAAAGAATTGTTAAGATTATGTATCACTAGTCAAGAATGCAAGCACTTGTCTATTTTGACGTTCTGACCCTACACTTGTTAGTTGCTATTTCATAATACTGTAAAGCTACAACATTGAAAATGTTTTTGTATGTGCTTGATCAAAGTATATATCATCACAAAGATTTTTCAAAATGCGGAAGAATTGTACAGCGCTTCTAACATGTTCCAAAGTGAAAAGATCGAAAAATTCAACTTGGCATAAAAAAAAAAAAAAAAAAACGCTTTGCATTCTTTATATGTTTTCTTTTCTTCCTTTCTTTTTTTAAAAGTCGCTGGGTCTTTCACGTTATCCATAAGACGACTTGAAGGCGAAAGACCAAGCGCCTATGTAAACATCACAGCGAACCTCCGAAGACAGCGCGCTCTCTGACGACAGAGTTTTGAAACACTCATGGCGTGCTTCTTTTCGTCGTTTTCGTGTCGTCGACGTGTTTTCGCTCAAGGACTCTGAAGGTCGACTGTACGATGAGACACTCAAGGCCTTCGCCTTGATATCTCCTATATTGACAAGATCATGCACGCAAAATAGGCCACGCTCAATTACAACCGGCTAGAAGATAAAAAAAAAAAAAAAAAAAAAAACATGTTTTCTTTAATGATTTAGGACGTTGCGATCTGCCGCAGTTTGAGTTCGACCAGGTTCGATATTACACCAAAGCTGTATATGACTCACAAGTGGGATTTCTAAAATTTCATCGTGTTGTCGTCCTCAAAAAAAAAAAAAAAAAAAGCCTTCAGGCGATTGAGTCGAAAAGTGCATATCACGGATACAACATACAGCACAGCACTCGTTTTAATAAAAACATGCACAAAACAAGTATCCGAACCACATAATTGATGACAAGGCGCTTCTGATAAGAATGGGAAGCACGTTGCGCTCACCGCATAGGCTTCGCGGTAAATATTACTATGAGCTTTCGTATTAAGTATTAAGTATACGAGCGAATGTAAGCCCTGCGCTTTTGTGCTAGCGTGGCGTGTTCCACACGGCGCGTGCGCAGAGCCCAAACCGCGGCCTGAAATTGGCGCATCGCGACTTCGCGCATGCGTAGCGTGGAGGAGGCAACGCCAACGCTAACGCACAGCGCTTGCGTTTTCTCGTACACGGAATACTAGAACTCACCACTGTTTCGCAAGCTTCCGCAGCGACGGCAGCTGGCGATGTGGGGAGGGACGTCCCTAGCCTTTCATACATAAAAAAGTTTTGGCACAGAGCATTTACTTTTCTTTCGTCAATCATTCGGTATTGACCCTTTTGTTGTTTACAAACATGAACTGCATCCTGCGTCCCAAGCGACTTCTGGTCGCTCTGTCTTTGCAAGCCTGTCGAGCTTGCTTACGTCACCAGTTCTAGAAAATATAAATGCTACATGTACATTGGCGTTGCAGATTTCACGAGGGCCCTTGGCTGGGCAATTTAACGACTTGGAGGAGGCAAGTTAGTTTACAGGAATATTCGAAAATTTTGAACAGAGCTCGCGCTCCTTCGTTCTTCTGGCGTTCACCTCGAGAACTGGTGGTTAAACGTTTCATCGACATTTCAAGCACCGGTGTTAGGGTGAGCTCTGTTCATTCTTTATTATGAACCTGAAATTCTCTGGGACGTCAAAGACTGGAGCACCGCCTGGTGGCGCTTGCCATGGAAAGGTTCTACAGTGCAGCAGGCAATCGTTGCAGGCGATACTAGAACTTCGCTGGCCAACCACCTCCACATCATGGACTGGAGCTCCGACTTTTTTTTTTTAACTTCTACGCCAAGTTCGGCAAAGGTTCGACAAAATGTCGAATTTGTGCGCATGCCAAAAACTAACGACGAGCTGGCGGAGAAGAGCTGCAATCATCGTGTTCGTGGTTCACATTAACAAACTAACTATTTCTGTATTTTGCTGAAGCATTGCATGCTCACCCTTGCCTTAGCCACCTTGTAGGTGGCTGTCAGTACTACCAAATAAATAAATAAATAAATAAATAAACTAAATCATTAAACATGTATGCGGTCGCTTTTATATTGTGAAAAAGATGAGACAAACTGCGGTAAATGTTTTTCTTTTTTTTACATTTGAGAAGTGTGTGCACAAGTCGTGCAACACTCTTGAAAAGTTCGTAAAAAATTGCCAGAAGTTCGAAGATTCGCCCAACCCGTGGAACCTCAAAGTTCGACGTCGAACCTCAGGTTCGCCAAACGTTCGCGACATCTCTAATAATGACTAGTTTTCTATTTGTGCCTAAATTCATATATTATACATGTGCCACAAGAAATATATGAGCAGCACCTGACTCCAGACAATGCATCAGTTTGAAGCATCACCTGCATGAGTGCGCCGCGTACCTGTGGCGGGCTTGTGCCTCGTGCTTGTTCCAGAAGGGTCGCTGCGCAGGAATCGCGAGCTGAAACAACTCTTTAGCGCGAAGTGACGAAACGAAAACCTCTCCGATTGCGTTCTCCTCACATATTAGTATATCTCAGTTCTGATGTGCTAGCCTCTGTCTTCCGTAACATAAAAAAAGAAAAGCCAATGAACAGCGAATAACACTAAAAAGGTCACCGGAAAAAAAAAGAAGCGATAAGCAAATTAGCGGCTTACTGCTTCGCAAATGTCATTCAAGAGGTCGGATTCATTTTTGCTTGATTTTTCCATGTACTTATTCCAATCCTCTGTCAGCTGTAAAAAACAAATAGTTTTTATATTGAAATATTACAATACGGTTGCTATATATATATATTTTGCACAAATTGAACAACAGGAAAGCCAAATCCGTTTTCTTTCCATTTCACAAATTTTTCAATCGTAGTGAACGCCAGAATAGCCCACAATGATTTTCTGGTGATTTTGATATAAAAGGCTTATCGATAACTTTTCCATAGACCAAACCAGTTCTTATTACCTTTCTTTTCACTTCAGAGGTTTCATGCATACATACCCTCAATATTAATAAAAACGGTTCTTTTATGCGAAAAAATTAAAAAAAGTGTAATAGACCCTTCTTAGAGTGCCTTCATGCACACGCGCGCTTTTGCTTGAGTGGTGACATCTCAGCCATTTTTCTGCCCAATCGTTTTTTTATGCATCTTGAAGTGTGCGCAATCCGGTGTCACTCGGCACGAGCGCGTAGTTTTGTCTAATGCATGGACGCCATTTTACCGCCCAAGTTACGCACCGAGTGCGCGAGAGCGTCACACGCTGGCACATTCAGGGCAACAATGGATGTCTTCACCCTGAGACAGACAGGCATTTGGGCACCCTAACCCTTCCCGAAATTCAGTGCCATATGGTGGCTATAAGGGCAGTTTAACTTTTGCCGTACTAATGGCGGCAATTAAAATGTAGTCTGCCATATTTTATCGGGCACCGTCACTTTGGCAAGTCAATAGAAAACAACAGTGTGCGCTTCACTGTACGTTTCCTTCTCGATATCTTTTAGTGACGATAGAAGCGAAGATGCAACCAGTCAGAACGAAGCGTCAACCTACGTACACGGCTTGATAAAGTTCTACAAATAAATGGGCTTTGGAGCACCTTGATGCTACCAACAGATTGACTGGACCCGAGCTAGAAATGAACACTTACGCAGAGCGTGCTTTCAGTTCCTGCTTCGTATCGTGCTAACGTCCCGAATGTATAAGCCTCGAATTATCTGCAGAGGAGCATCTTCAACTTCTTCCTTCATCAGTAAACAGAAGGCCGCCATTAGTATAGCACATATGCCGTTTTCAGATGATGATGATAGTGATCAGAGTGGCCAGACTGAATTTCAGAAAGGGTATATTATTAAATTATTTGAAAAGTGTCTTTTCATTTTTTATTTAACAAATTTTAAGAGTTTTCGTACGTTCATGTGGTTGCCGACTATTTTACTGAATTGATGAATGATTGCTAAGGCATTTTATTAAACTTACGTTTTGCGGGAGATGCAGTAACGTGCAGTGCAGCGAGGGTAATGCAAAATCTGATTTATTGTCCTTCAGGCCTTAGGGATAAAACAAACAAAAATTAAGAAACAAATTGGCAGCAATTGTTGTCTACAAAATTGTTTAAGGAGCAATCGTTTGAATTTGTCGGAGGCACTTTCCACAGTCGTTTGGCGCGGAGTGTATAACATAACGTTTATTGAATAACTTAACGGGATCTGGCGTAACGTGACACCACAATTTGACACCCTGAAAAAGCACCACGTGACCTTACGTCTCGGAGTCAAGTCAGGGTGTCACGTAACGTCAAATGGTGTCAAAGTAAAAGTTGTAACTATTTTGGCATAAATAGGTGTTGGTAGAAGACAGATTATATCCATGCGGGGTCCCAAAGCTTTTAGAAAGAACTGTTTAAAGCTAGCTAAGTTCCGGCGAAATTTCAATAGTCACTGATGTGCCTCGGAATTGGTTCAGCCTATTGGTTCAACACATAACATGACGCCGCCGTCTCAAACCGGAAGTTAGAGGTGGGGTGAGGAGGGTTTCTTGGAGGAGGAGGCAAGAGAAGGCGACACTTTCCCAGATACAGGGGCTTTAGTCTCAATAAGGAGGTAGCGCCATCTATCTATACGTGCGCCAAGCGCACCTAGCCACTGGACTCGGTCGTCTGCATCGCCATCCACCGTTGACCCTGGCCCCTTTTTTTTTACAGAAAGGGAGCTCCGTTTTGTAATCTTCCGAGATAAAACTGACCTGAGAAATACACCTTTGACAAAAGTTTAGATTTCTACGTGCATGAGTCGATTTTTACGGCCCAGTTTAGATCAAGCCTGTGTATTTCAAACGCCCTACATATAGTGTGATGACCATCAGGACTCCGAACACCTGCATAGTTCCCCCTCAGGAATGTCCCAATGCCAGCTGCACCGATGACCAGAAACAGAAAACCCGCAGCATCGACCCTTCACACTCGTCGAGGAGCTCCATTTAAACCATCATCTCCATTTTTTTTAAATTTTGCTGGACAGTACCATTTTATTATCATTAAACGCGGCGCCGCAGGCCATTAAGGTATGGGCGACTTGCCTTTCTGCGGCGCCGTGGCTCTCCTGAGCTCAAATAAATATCAATATCAATATTGATATCACAAAGGAAAACGCAAGATAATTTTAACGCAATTACTAAGACATAAAACCGGGTATGAAAAATGGAGATGCCGGTAATGACGATGTGCAATAAATGTTAGACAAAATTATCAGCTGGAGACAAAATCAGAACGGATCCGAAGCGTTTGATGAGCGTCGCAGCGCCGTTACTTCGCACGCTCTTACTTTTGCGCCGCTAGCAGCGGGTCTGCTGGAAACAGGCCGCCGAGGCCGGATCTGGGCCGCGGGCGGGGGTTTTGATACCCTTGCTCTAATGCCCGAGTCCCACTACAGCAACAAACAAAAACAACCGACACGGACAAGCCTCCAATATATGCAGCATGCTCGCAATGGTACCTTTGCGAGAGAGAGAGAGAAAACCTTTATTTTCGCTCCAAGTCCGGAGCTCCCTTTGCGAGGCGTTTAGTCTTTCGGTGCTCGTGAAGTAAGCACGAGCGATTGCAAGCCTGCCAAAGAAGACCTCGCGAGCATGACGCTCGTGTTTGAGCATTTATGCAAGCAGCCTGCCAAATCAAATTGCAAAAAAATCTGGTTTGAGGCTTGTCGCTTTCGTTTATTTCTAGTCGTCGCTCTAATGGGACTCGGGCATAAAAGACGCTATTTACTTGTGGCGACATCAAGGAGTTTTCGTAGACCGCGTTTCCCCCTCCGCTAAGCCCTCCCCAACGAAGAAGCCGCTACTGCGCCTGTGCGCCGATGGCCTTGGCTCTAAAGTTCTGGCTATCGTAGCGGTTTGCTGAGAGCGTTGCGGGACGGCGGAAACGATCTACGAAAGCTCCCAATCTACTCATAGGCGCATCCAGCGAACAACAGAGTGCGTCGTCTGCTCGCAGCGGCTATCGGAAAACGGCACCCCTAGAAAATAGCGTGATTAGTGTCGCTTAGAGAGCTATAGCGTTGACGTGACTTTGGCTTTGGCTGGTATGCTACTCTATATTTATAAATTTTTCTACAGGAAGAGAACTACGTGCTTTGCAATTTCAGCTCAGTGCACATTGGGCGAACGTTTCAGCTTTCTGTGGGCAGGCGCCGATTTTTCCGGCTCGCTTTACAACGGGAGGCCCGCTTGTTCCACCCTATATATTACGGAGTTTACGGAGTTTTTGTAGATCGTTTTTGCCATCCCGCAATGACTCTCCAGGTTCATGAGACGCCGAAGAGTTCTCGAAGATAGGAAACTGGCGCTGCAGGAGATGGAACTACTCAAGCTTCTCCTTGCCATCCTCACATTCTCAGCAACTACAGATTTCCTAAAAAGGTCTTAATTTTGGTACGTGGAGCGGGTTTCTGCTGAAGATTTCCAAAATTCCTAAAACTATGCTGTTCGAGATGAAACTAAGCTCTTTGCGGGAACAAACTACCAACCGTAGCGGACGTTAAGGATTGCAAAAACATATTAAATAGCAAAATAATTAGCTACATTTTTTAAATCTTTTTTAATGAGTGAAACTAAACATATGGTTTTATTGAGAAACTTGCCAAGCATCATTGAAAACCACTAAATTTTATTTTTTTAATATTACAAAACCAGCATTTTACGGCGTTCTGAAAAGAAAAAAAAAAACGCTTAGTTTGGACGTGTTTCTGTGTTTTGATTTCTTATCTGAGCTCATCTTTGCGCCCGCGGTCCTGCTCCCAGGTGGTTGTGGCTCGAAGCCACCGCCTCGCCTCCCTCGTAGGATGGAGGGAAGTATGATGTACGCGTGCTGCGCGTCTCGGTCCTTGCGCAGTAGGAATTTTGTATCTACGAAATAGTTTTTTTTATGCACCTGGAAGATAGCAATGTTATAGTGATCAGTGTAAGTTATAAAATTTAGTTTCCAGTGGAGTAGGCAAGTATAGTAATAAGAGACTTTATTTCCTTTACTTCTACTGTCTACCCTTTTTCTCTAATAAATGTTAAGGTATTTTTTTGGTTTTTTTTTTTAATCTAGGCAATATAAACGGTAACACTAGGCTCGAATTATTTTTTTTAACCTGTGATTATTGGGAGAATTGACGAACGTTTTATGTCCCTTCAAATGCGTAGTTTCTTCCCTGAACAGACGTTGCCTGCTTCAAGAAGCCGTCCTTGTAGCAGTGTACCGTCTCCATGTCCCATGCTTATGTGTTGCAATCGACAGATCCGTGGACTTACCGAATTTTCGACCTATGTTCTCATAAAGGTAGATATTCTCCTTGCATAGAATAAAAAAAAAGAACAGGTAAACAAAATATTTTAAAAAAGGCGCAGCGGAAAATAGTTGTATCCCCTCTCAGGCAGTGGCATTTATACATGAGCAAACAGGGGGATGAAGTGGGAAGAAACTGTGTGGTGGAGAACAGCGGCTTACCTCAACAGAAAAGTGTAAGTCGCATACCCACTCAAGTCTTGTTTTGCATCTACCTTCCATGATTTAGTAACAAACATTTAGGTAAAAAAATGACAAGGGTAATAATTATACATATATAGGGAGATTCAAAAGCAGCATCAAAACAATTTCAAACGCGAAAATTAGACATCTAATCTAAAATGTACTGTAAAGTTCCAAAATTCAGTAAAGCGAAATTCGATGAAATGGCGTCAAGCGATTCGATAAAACGATGTTCGATGAATTGGAGTTCGATGAAATGTCTACTTAGTCGATGAAACGGCGTTTAATAAAACGGCGGTCGATTAAATGTCTGGTAGCCACATCCAACATCAGCTGCCACCCGGCAACTTGAGATGTTGAAATGCGCCTTCTCACACTTCTGTGCGCGCAACTAGCACACATCTGTGGCGACCGCAGACGTCGTGGGAATATTCCCTATACTAGAAAGTTGACCTTCAACGTTCCTTTATTTCCTGATTACAAAGGATGGACCCTGTCTCATTGTCTTTTGACTATTTTATTCAACCATGCATTAGTGAAGACCGACCCCCAGATTGAGGTCGCATCGCTCTACACAACCACAAACACATCACTACATTGAAGGTCTAGCGGTTTTTTTTTTCTGTAACATATATATGAAAATGCATAGCCGAGCGCCAGTATTAGATATTCTGTTCATAAACCAGTGAGTGGTGAATTAAGACTTTCAGTACAACGTAAAAATGCATTGGTAATTGCCAGCAAAAACTACGTAAAGTAATCTAATTTTTATTCCGTATCAAGGCAGGATGCCAATACCCTGAATTATGAAAATTAGGGTTTATATTATTATGTGCGTGAAACCTTCCTGGAGGGGCCTTGGACTCGTTGAAGTAACCGGTTAATGTGGGTTTCCAGTTCTCAATAATCTAAAAAGTTAACGCATAGCAGGACATCGACGCATATTCGCATTTTAATCTAAAGGGTATTTGGGTGGCATCACATTTTACCTCTTAGGGTAGTGCCTCATATTAGCACTTTGCCCCGCGCTAATAGTTTTCATAATACATTTTTAGCTAAAAAAAAGGAAACGGCTATTGCCTGTTTGGGCTAACAGCCTCGAGCATTGCACACTCCAACTAGTGCATCCTTCTATAAATATACGTGCGAAAAATGTTTATTTTTATTACTTTAGTGGTTTCACACTACCTGATGACTGCTGGACGAGATGCCCGACTAAAAAGGTTTCTAACGTGCCTTTCATTAGCTGGGGTGGTACAGAAGCTCCTGCAGAAAAATCCGGTGCTTTTTGTTTTTGTTTCTTTTTATTGTGTTTTTTTAAACTGTGGAAAAATGAAGCGATCCGCGGATGATGGAAAAAACAAATCCGACTCACTCAAGAGAAGGTGGCCCGGCTTAGAAATGCTCAAAGCCCGGACTTGGGGAGGCCGGAGGCGAACATGACCTCTCGTCGCAGAGACAAGAGCGACTGATGCAGTCTATGCGACCTTCTGACCTCCACCCCCCTTCGATTTCTTTCTCCGTTTTTCCCTGAGTGGT